CATGTCAACCTTGGTCAACCCCAAGTCAAAGGTCAAGGTCAGCAAACCATCCAAGTTAACTCAGCTGAGTACGTTGGGCGTACTCAGCTTGACCAAGAAGTCGAGGTTTTGACCGCGTACGTGTTGGTACGCCCAATGTATGCACCTTGCCACCTCAAATTCTTATTAAGAGCTTAATCCATCAAGTCCTTACGTCCAAATCTAGATCTAGGCCCAAAATGTCATTATAAGTCATAAAGTTTCCAACTTTATGACTTTGTATGGTTAGAAGTGATACCAACAAACCCTAACTTCTTAATTCAATAGGACATCCTAACACATGCATGGGGAAGAAATAAGAACCAAGATCATATTTTTATGCTTCGAGACATCTTAAAACGTCTGAAATGATGGCTTATTCGGCTAGAGTATGTCATAGTCATAAATGTCAAGATTTGGGACCAAAATGCTTTAAGACTCAAGAGCTAATAAGATCTAAAGAAATGCAAGCCAAGTTCAGAACTTTATACCTCCTGGAGGTTGCTAGATAGATGAGGATTCCAGATCCAAGGCTTTTTGAAGCTTCTAAGGTGATTCCACTTCCTCCCTTCTCCTTCAAGCTCACTAAAATGCACACCAAAGGTCAAGAATGATCAAATAAGGAACTAGGGTTTACTAAGTTCAAGTAAAGTGATGAAGGCTGATGATAAAAAAGACTTGGAGGCCATAAAGATGTTTAAATAGAGTCCAAACCCAAAAAATTAGGGTTTGGGATCCTGCCACGTACGCCCAACATACGATATGAGTACGCCCAACATATGTGCCCCACACCTATTATTTACAAAAATGCCACTATGGGCCATTTTGCAACACTTCTCATACACAAGGGCTAAAATGCAATAATATTCATACTTAGGGTTAAAATTTAGAAATACCTCAACATCAGGATGTTATATTGTGCAAGCAACGAAAATTCGTTTGTAAAATCAGATTACTGCTTACAGTAAGAACTCGTTCGGTCGCCTACTATTTGATTCAACCCTCTTCGTCGCTTCTCATTTCTCCTCCAATCTGTCACCTTTAAGCATTGTTGCTACCCCCGACATCCCCAGTCGTTCGTTGGCTCGATTGATATCGTATACACAACAACGCTATCTGAACCATCTCTTCAAGCTAAATTCTATCATAGTCGCTTTTCAGATCCTTATCAACCAACAAATTGAGTTTATTCTCATGATGAATTTTCTTAACCAATTGAGAATATGTTTTGTCGGTGGTGGAGTCATCATGGTAGAGAGAAAATATAGAGAAATGGGTCTTTTGTCAGGCGTAAGTGGCAACCCCCTTGAGAAGAGGATGAAGAGGCAAAGAGGTAATGGTTACCCCCTTCATTTTCTGAAAAAAAAGACTATTTAAACCCAATAAAATCGACATTATTCCCCTAGAAAGTCAGAAAATAACTTTAAGGAGCTTTTAAACCAATTTAAATAACTTTGTTACCCAACAATGACATTATCTCTATATAGAACACTAAATTTCAAATTGGTTAATATTATTAGATAATAATCAACTGTGACCGGTATATTCACTTAGTCACTAGTCAACTAACTGTCTGATAAATTATAACCATGCGATCGAATTACAAATTAAACATTAGGCGTTGAAATTAAGTATTGTACAATTATTTTATAGTAATTAGTCTTTTTGTGCATTAAATTGGCGAGATTATGTAAAGTCCCATTTTTTACAACAAATTTTTTCATTTTTACTTAAGGTAAAACTTCACATATATAGAATCCAATTTAAGAAAACCATTTGTTCCAAAGTATATATTTTGTGGAATACTATTCATATCTTCCAAAATGGGGATGAACTTTGAGCAGTCGGTTTTAGTCATTCTTTTTATATATTTATACATTTTTAGTTTATTTTTATATACTAATTATAATTTAAATGTAATATTTAATATTTACAATATTTTTTTCTATATTGAATTATATTAATTAATTATAAATATAAATTTTGTTTTTTTGTATCAAATTCATTTAAAAATTTAAATATATATTGAAAATTTAAAACACGATAACATATTTTACAAAAACTTATAATTAAAATATATTATAAAAAGTGTGTATTTGTAATATTTATAATTTTATATAAATGTATGTATAATATTATTGTAATGAAAAAAATATTAATTATATATTGTTAAAACCAATTAATAGAAATGTGTGTTTTACAATCTATGTAAGTTGGAAGAATGAAGTATACTAGGAATATATTTTTTGTGGTAAAAATGGAATAGAGTTGGAGATGAAACATTATTTATCTTATTTTTTATTCTATTTTTTAGGAAAAAAATGAAAGTAGGTTGAAGATGGTCTAAGAGCAATGCTTATAAAACTAATAGTGTAAAGGAGTAATGTAATGCTTATACTCATATTGAATCACTAGTAAATAACGAATGGGAATCACATATGTAAGAAAAGCATCGGTGGAATAAAATATTCATATGATTAACTATGCATAGCTGCTTGTTAGCATGTTATAATCCAATTATTAAATTTATTGTTATTGAAGGTAGCATATATGTTGGAATTACCCAATAGCCGAGTATATGTCCATGAAGGACGAATAAAGGGGGGAATTACCCATTAGTTTGTATATGTCCATGAAGGATGAATAAAGGGGTTGCTTAATATGAAATTTTTGTTGTTGACGTTATCATGTTAGAATATGATTATTATCTAGAATGCAAGTTTATCTCTTCACATTGAGATGGCTGTTTATTTTATTCCATTTTGGATGGTTGTCTTATTTCCTCCTTGTTTTCGGGTGGTTGTTTAATAGACAAATGGTTTGTCGTTTATAAAGGTTATATGGCTGACATTTTATTTTTATGTTTAATTAAATTCCATTTACATATTGTAAGAATTTGTGTTAGTTACTCACAAGCTTTACATAGCTTATACAAGAATATATAGTAGGTGTTGTCGGTACAGGAAAAATAGATAAAAAACCAAAAAAATCAAAATTTTTTCCACTGCATACAGGAAAAGTAGGTGTTGTCGGTGCCACAGGGACACCAAGTAAAATTGCCCCTGCTTATGTTGTGGTCATCTTCCAATGATGTAGGTGTTAAGTGGTATGGTCAAAGAGTTGGCCTAGTTACAAAAAGATTAACAATATCAAGAAGATAGTTCTTTTGTAGCTTATGAATCAACTGTAATGTAGCACCATGTTGAGTTATTACTTGATGTAACTATGGCTCTTATATGCATATATGCTTTGCTAGTTCATATGTACACTGGGTTTTATGTTAAAATATTTCAAAACAATAAGCTTTTTGGATGTACCTTTTTATAGTTTTGGGGTGTTACAAGGGCCTCAACGGTAAACATGACCAACTGTATATGTGGTGTCATTCGTTTGACTCTCCACTAAGTTGTTTTTCTATCTTTTTTGTAAAGGCGTTAATGTGACAAGTCTGGTTAGAAAGTTACATAAACAGATCTTACACGTTAACAAAATATTATGAACTTTTAAAATGTGGCAAGAGTAAAAATAAGAAAATACACAAAACACATGAAATGGTAAAATTAAAACCAAAAAAGTTCTTTTAATGTGCAACCAAAAGTCAATGTAAAATTTTATGGCCTCTGTGCAATTAAACCAAGATTGAAGGGATTTTTAAGATACTTTACTTGTATGCAATCAAACCACTTTAATGATGTTTGGTTTAAATGCAAAACACTTGCCATATAACTTAGCATTAAAATCGATTGTGGTTAGTATGTTTTCTAATTTTATCTTATTAAAGGGAGTTTTAAGGTATTTTATTACTAATCATAGATTTTTATATATTAAGAAATTTGGAGCATTATATGTTAGAATATCTTTTGGATCCTAAATATGACTTATTTTGTCATATTTTAAAGAATATGCCTACTTTTTTTTTTCTTTCAGAAAATACCCCTATTTACTTTCTAAGTCACTCACTCACTCCCTTTGACCCGTTATTCATTGCTTGTATAAATAGTTGTACATCTAAGTACAACCCTTTCTTGTACCCAGTTGTCCAAACAGAAACATACCAAAGGGCATTTATGGCAACTTAACTCCAAAAAAATATATCAAATATCTTTTAACACTCTGTAAATCCCGCACCTATACATACAAATTTATGTATACATCTCTCTCTCTCTCTCTCTCTCTCTCTCTCCACTCTGTCATCTTCTCGTTTTCTCTCTCTCTTCCATTCATCATTTCCTCCTAAAGCTTATCTCTCTGTTCATACATTCACTCATTTCTCGAAGAAATCTGCAACAATCTGAGGAACAGAAGAAACGAATTTAGTAACGATTTCACCATCTCTTGCAAACTCATACGCTGTTGATTTCAGCTACGGGTTTCGGAGTTTTGAAGAATTTTGGTAGGGTTTTGGGGTTGCGATTCGATGACATGAGTTTAAATACGTGTGCTTGGAAATAAATGTGATGATATGAAGGGGGTTGTAAATTCAAAGAAGCAAAATTTTGTTGCTGGTTAATTGATTGGCTCAACTGTTGCTGAAATTTAGGGTTTTTGGGAGTGTAAATCGGTTGAATCAAACTGGATTTAGCTCAGGGCTCAGGTACTTCGTTTCTCGAATTTCTGATACATTCATCTGGATTGCTTTTCCTTTTCATAAGATTCGTATATAATCCACATTGTTCTGTAAATTAAAGCAACTAATTACAGAAGATTATAACAAGTTTTGAGGGTTTCAGCACTGGATTACACCTCTGAGAAAGTGTTCTTCTACAAATGCTTTCCTTCCAAAAGTTTCTTAAAGCTATCGGTATTTGCTTTTTAGTTTTCCGTTAGTTTACAAAGAGAATCAGATTCTACAAACATCAACGGGTCTTTTGGTTGTTCTAACTAGAAAATCCAGTTCTCCTGTTCTGGATCACATCGCCATCCTTCCACCTTCTTCGAGATTCTTCCCAATTCGCGCTGATTTTCAGTAAATTGATGCATCGATGGGGCTTCCATTTCGAAGTCTCACGATGCTTGTTCTACTAATTTGGTTTCTCCGGTGGCCAATAATTGAAGCTCAAACACCTGCAAGATCTCTCGATGCTATCCTTCAGGACTACGCTTATCGTGCATTTGTTCGACCACGAACTGGCATTCCCTACGACGGAGTCCCCCCTTCAAATTTCTCCGGCATTCAAATATCAGCAATCAGACTTCGAAGTGGTAGCTTATACACTAGAGGCGTTGAATCATATAAAGAGTTCACAATCCCAATCGGAGTTATATCACAACCATACGTGGAAAGGTTAGTCTTCGTCTACCAAAACCTCGGAAACTGGTCCACTATATACTACCCTTTACCTGGCTACATCTATCTATCTCCTATCCTGGGTCTTCTCGCTTACGACGCCTCAAATTTATCAGCCAAAAACCTACCGGAGTTAGCCATTCATGCCTCCGAGGAACCCATTTCAATCAATTTTCCACAACCAAAACCGGTTCCCAATGGTTCAATCGCAGAATGCGTTCACTTCGATCTAAACGGTAATATAAATTTCACAAATTTGGTATCAAGAACAATATGTGAGACATTCGAACAAGGGCATTTCTCCATTGTAGTCAAATCCACCATCGCCCCTTCACCAGCTCCAGCACCACCACCACCACCACCACCGCCACCACCTCATGGTGGTGGTGGCGGGAACGGGAAAAGGGTCGGGATCATTGTCGGAGCAATCGCGGGTGGGATCGCATTACTTGTGTTGTTGGCATTGCTGATATTGTGGATATGGAAATTGAATAAAAAGAAGAAAATGAATAAAATGGAAAAGGCGGCGGATTCCGGCGAAGCGTTGCAGATGACGGTGGTCGGAAACACGAAAGCTCCGGCAGCCACCACGACAAGAACACAACCGACCCTGGAAACGGAATATGTCCCGTGAGATTGATTCATACTTGTGGTGATGATGAATTGATGAATTGATGATAATGGATTGAGATGATAATTGAGAGATAGTATTTTGGGATTCATTCTTTGGTGTTAGTGTGTGTGGTTCTTGTGTGAATAATTACGTTTTTTTTTATTTCACAAAACCTGTTGATAGTTTGATAATTTGTTGTGTGCATTTTTTAGGTGTTTAGGCAAGAGTGATGATTCTATTCATGGTAAATTTTGTGAACCATTGTTAAAGAAATAATAATTTCTTTTTTCTTTTTTGAATGGGACTTTAGTTTTTTCTTATTTTTTAAATTACAATGTTATATTTGATGAAGAGGTGTATAGATGTAGTCGGTGTAACACATGACACATGGGAGGGATTGTTGATTCTTGAAGGCCAAGTTCCAATGATTAAAGGAGTTTAAGACTACTTTATTGAAATTGCTTTTGGTTGGAGCATTTGTCATCAATTATTGCATCACAACAATAACAAGTTATGCACACAAGTACAAATATATATAGCCATGCCCGGCTAATCCAATAATAATCATCTTACACTTTTTCTTCTTTTTTACGTAAGAATTTCGGTAATTAGGTAAGAATGTATAAACAGTAAACAACTAACTTATACGCCAACTACTTCAAAATCTATATATTTTGTCACAAGAAGAGTTTGAACTCTCAACTTTTGATAAAAAGAAAAAAAAAATACTATATTAGAGTTTTAATAGTTTTTATATCAAGTATAAAACGGTTTTATAAAAATGTATAAATCATTTAATATTTCATCAAATAGGAGTCTAAATTAATGATACTCACATTTCCTTAGATGTTAATGCGTTTTGGGGAATTGGTGGATGAAATATGAATGGGGTTTGAAAGTGCACAAGTCAAAGAAAGCAGCCAACACGTTGAAACTTTTGTTTATTGTTTCATGTTTTATGAATATAAATATTTTTTTTGGTAATTGGCAAAAGAAATCGACATCAGTCCCTCCACCTCACCCGCCGGTTGTTTGTTATACGTTGTCATTTAGTAGCTGCATGCACAGTTTGTCATTTATATTTCATGTATACATTCTCATTTTTAGGGAGTGTTTGCTTCCCAATTTTTTTAACAATAGAAGGAAACCCCGAAATGAAATTAAATATGGGCAACTTATTGTTTAGCTAACGGCATAGAATTAAATCGTAATATTACTTTTATGATTTCATTAAGGCTGTAAACATTCAACGGTGTACCGTTTGATGATAAGTTCGTTTATATTTGTTTATTTAATAAACCAACGAATATAAACAATCATTTACGTAAGCAAACAAACACAAAAAATAGTCTTGTTTGTGAACATTTGTTTATGTTCATTTAAATATGAAAAAACTAGGTAAATTCTTATTTTATTTTTTAAATTCTAATACTTGTTCTTTATAATAATTGTTACTTGTCTCTATGTTTGTTATAGGAAAATATGATATTATACTGCTCATCTTTAACGAAGGTTTGATGAATTGTGATATATTAAGCTAGCAAAATGTTAAAAAAAAACAATAATTACAAAGGAGAATTAGCTAATTTCTGAGTTTTTTTTAAACAAATAACCGATTGACTTAGTTTAGAATTTTTACATAACAAACATAAAGATTGTCAACAATCCTATCAAAATTTGTATCTTTCTTTTGTTTTTAAGTTCCAAACACCAACAAATTTCGATACGATCTCAAAACCTTCATCTAACGATCAAAAGTTTGAGTATTTGACTATACTCTATTTTGGTATTTAAATGTTAAAGTAGGTTGTTATTCTAAGAATGACAACTTACTTTAAGATTGAATTTAAAAACATAAGGAAGGTGACACGATCGTGCAAGGACGCGGTGCGAATGGTCAAAGGTTAAAGAGTCAACCGGAAAGACAACATTGCGGCGCAAGCATAGGTGTATGTCGCGACGCAAGTTTGAATGTGATGGACACGTGGCAGAATGACATGACACACAACTTAATTTGTGACATGTGCTGACACGAAGCGAGGCCGCGATCCGACCATGGGCTTTCCACTATGCGGATTCGACTTTTCAGCTTAGTATATAAAGAGTTGAAGGGTTTCTCCGATGGGTTCTTTTTAGGAATTAAAACCATAATTTGTGAGTGATGGTAATGGTTTATAGACATAGATCTTGAGGCCAGTTTACGAGGGTAAGGTCGTTGAACGAGATAAGGTATCCTCTTGACTGTAACGTCCGGATCATAGGTAAACTCCTTTTAAAACTAGATTGTATTTATTTTTGCATCAATGACCATTACATTGGGAGTAATCAAGGGTACGCGAGGCGTACCTCGTTGATTCGAGAGGATGACAGTGATTATCCCACTCTTGGAGCAGATTTGAGAGGCTCATGTCGAGACTATGAAAGAGGAGCATCGGAAGAGTGAGTACATAGTGGGCCAGGTGTCGTCTTTTGATTATGATAGCCGTTGATTATTAACCCTTAATCGGAGAGTTTGGGTTCCATACTTCGGGGGTACGCGACAAATTTTGATGGAGGAGGCGCATAAGTCGAGGTTTTCTATTCATCCGGGAGCGACAAAGATGTATAGAGACCTCCGACTTGATTATTGGTGGCCCTGCATGAAGCGGGATGTGGCTTGGTATGTGGAGAGGTGCTTAACTTACAGGAAAGTCAAGGTCGAGCATCAGCGACCTCACAACAAAATGGAGTCGTTGGGTGTTCCCGTATGGAAATGGGAAGAGATTACGATGGATTTAATCACGAAGCTACCACGGACAACACGTGCGGGTGGATTCAATTTGGGACATCGTGGATCGATTGACCAAGAGTGTGCATTTCATCCCTATTCAGGAGAGCATTTCCGCAGAGAAGTTAGCGGATGTCTATATCCGGGAGGTTGTAGCACGAAATGAGGTTTCGATCTTCGTGGTTTCAGATCGGGATGTTCGATTCACTTCTAGGTTCTAGAAGAGGTTCCATGAGGAGTTGGGTACTCGTATTCACTTCAGCACAACTTTTCATCCGCAGACCGATGGTCAGAGCGAGCGGACCATTGAGACATTGGAGGATATGCTACGAGCATGCGTGTTGGAATTTGGTGGTAGTTGGGATACGTATCTACCATTGAATGAGTTTTCTTACAACAACAGCTACCACGCCAGTATCGATTGACCTCCTTTCGAGATGCTTTACGGGAAAAAGTGTTGGACCCTGATTTGCTAGGGTGAGGTTGGTCAGCGAGTTATGGGTAGCATGGAGGTGGTGCTCTGGACTACCAAGTTAATCCAGCAGGTGTGCAGGAGATTGCAGACCGCGCAAAGCTGACAAAAGAGTTATGTTGATAGACGTCGGTCATATTTGGAGTTCCGGGTTGGGGATATGGTACTCCTGAAGCTATCACATTGGAAAGGTGTCATCCGGTTTGGGAAGCAGGGAAAGCTGGGCCTCATATATATCAGTCCTTTTAGAGTTATTTCCCAGGTGGGCATGGTTGCTTATCATTTGGAGCTACTCGAGGAGCTCAGTTAGATTCACAACACTTTTCACGTCTCTCAGATGCGAAGGTGCTTGGTTGATGATTCCGTAGTGGTTCCTTTGTGTGACAACTCGAAATTTCTATCTTGTATAACCATTCACTTCAATCGAAGTCAGACTGTTTCTGCTAACTTTTAGCACTGTTTAGAGTCTGTTTGAGTGTTCCAAAGCCTAGTACCTTCAAGAGGTAATTATAGTAAGTATACTCTAGAGTTTATTGTGCAACATTTAAGTCTCAAAACTCCAAGAGTTTGGAGTTTACGGCCATAAAGTGGAGTTTACGGCCGTAAACTCTAAGGTATAAATATGACACTTAGTCATTTTTAGTCATTTTTACCATTTTCAAGCCTAGAACTCATTCTCTCTCAAGTATCATCC